GAAAACGCGTTGTTCGATGTATTCCCTACAAGACTATAATCCCGCAGTATAAGCGACGTTCGTCGTTCGTCGAGGCATTCGTTCGACAGCCAGGTAAACACCGACTAAGGACGAGTCGTCCTGTCCGATTTCTGATCGCTGTACGCTCGCAACTGTTCCAGAAAAAATTCTAGGCCTTAACTTCTTAGAACTCGTGATATTTCTTGCGTGCCAAAGATAAGAAACGCGTGCCTAGGTCGCTGAACGTACATCGAGCCAAACATAAAGCTAGCTGTCTGTTCGCGCACAGAAAAGAGTTAGCGGGAAAAGAATGTTCTGATTTTATATTACTTTTATTGGCAAAACCGAGAACAAACGCCACGCACGTGGTCTTAATACAATACAATACGCCATACTTTTTTTCGCTCGACGCATGCGCGGTCGCCGCTCCCGACGCATGCGCGATCGCCGCTCGGCGGATGCACGCCGATCACAGTAAAAAGACGCGCCCCTTTTAAATTCAAACCGTTACACTGTCCTTTTAAGAATAAAACTCGCGAGAGTATCTCTCACGAGTGGACACTGCGTCTGAGAGTGACTGTCTGAGAGCATCGCTCAACTCTCTGAGAGTTACGACTCGAATAAACAGTTGCTTTGCAAACACGAAACAGTTTCGTATTCTTGACAGAACTCTCGTGCAGGTATATAGCATTCCATTTAAAAAAATTAAACTGAAATTCCAACGTTCCGAATCTGTCCCCGCACAGATTACATTTCCTTTCCTTTTGCTTTTTCTAGTGCCTATTCCACCTTTCCATATTCCCGCACCTCGCCTATGCTACCAGCTATTGACTCTCACCTCTTCCCTCTTTGCTCAGATACTTTGATAACCCTAAAGTCCTATCTTGTATTTGTTGTTGCCTTTCTTTATCCCTTCGTCCGAACTTCTCTATCTCTTCTCTTCCTGCCCTTCTCAGCTGCTCTAATCCCACTTGGCTCAAACAATTCCTTTTTAGATAATCCTTCCCAGTCTTCCCTATTCCTGCTTTGCTCCTTGACTCTTTCTTTTTTTCTTTTAAGCACTCTAACAATTTTCCTCCCTTCTCCTTGTTTTATACCCTCTTTAAACTTCATTGCTCTCTTCCCTGCTCTGACCCTTTCCTTCGCTCTCTTCGTCTCCTCCATCACTGTACCGGGTACATCTAGTAACTGGGCCGAGTTAAAATTCGGTTGTTATTGAAGGTAGAAAAAAATTGTAGAGGAACAACTGAACAATGTGATGAACAGTGTAAAAAGACGTGTGAGGAAATGTTTAGAATGCAATGGTGGAACATTTGGACATTTACCGTAGATCCTGGAAAAAGAAGTAAATATTTCGAAAAGTATTAAGTTCTTCACAATTATACCCTAATACTTTTTTATTCAGAATAGCATGACGAATCGATTCGTGCAAAAAAAAAATCATAAAGTAGCATTAAAAAAACTAGTGCAATTGCACTTTGCAACTGCACCGATGAACTTCCGTAAAAACCCGCATTATAGGATGATATAGCTTGTTAAACCATACAAAACTTTCTATTTTCAATAGGAACCGAATTATAATTCGGCCTAGTTACTAGATACACCCTGTATAGTCAGGAGAGCTTACGTCCATTCCCAGTGTCCATTTTAGTACTTCAGCTGTATCCTCTCTACTTCTAACTTCTCCTTAAACCCCCATAGCTTTACTCTGTACTTAAATACATCAGCACTCCCATTACCATGTGTTAATTAGTTTTAGTTTGGTATAGTCAGTGAAATTTTATCTAATACATTTTAGTGTGTTTTTAATATAGGTCTAATTTATTTTTCATTACCTTTCTTAGTTAGTAGTGCTTAGTTAGTTAGTAGTTAGTAGTGCATGTGAATGTCGTAGTGTACAGTAATTATTTTTCAGTGGTTTCCGTGTATTGTGTTTCTGGTGTGCATAGTGTAAGTACATTGTTTTTGCAGTACACAATGAAATACACATTCGAAGAACTTTCCGACATGCACCTGTGTCAAGATGAAGCAAACGGTGGTGCTGCAAAAGTCGGTAGTGTCGTTTACAACGTCGAATGTCACTGCCTTCTTCTCTGCATTTTTATATTGTTATATTTTTATACTACAGTACATTGTTATTATACGTCATTACATTGTGATATACAGTGCGTGAGTGTGAACAGTGTGGATTCGTGTGAGAGTGGGAATGTATGAATGCATAATTGGAGATAAAATAAGAAAAGGAAACTAAAAAATTCTTCTCTACGCGTTGTACGAGGTAAAGTGGAGATCACTGTACTCCCCGTGGCTTAGCGTGACCTACAGTGTGCGTAGAAAGTATTCGTACAGTGATTAATTGCCACTAAAATATTGAATAATAATATTTATTATTAATCAATATTTTTTAAACAAATGTATTATATTCGATCATTTCATAAGTTCGTGCCGAAAGCGAAAAATATTTTAATGAAAATCCAAGGAAATTCTATATCGAGGACATAATGGTTTTACCAAAAAAAGCAGGCACAAGTTGCGAAATGAGAAGATGCTTACGTTTTTTTTTATCAAATTTATAGGTTCGTTGGAAACATTAATCTAAATTATAAAATTCGACACGAACTTATGAGATGACCTAATACATACTCTTCGAAGCTTCCAGAAGGAAATATCAAAGAAACAAGAAACGATATTTATATTGACTGTATAAATTTCAATAAAAATTAACAAATTAGCAGAATTAAACGTCTAATAAGTATTCGTACAGTTCTTAAATCACTATCGAATGCATAATAAATTAGTATTTAGTAGGGGTTCCCTTTGATTGTGTAATTGCAGTTAGCCTTCTGGGCATTTAATTGACTAAATTGGATGTAATGTTACATGTAATATTATTCCATTCCATAATCAGAACATGTATTGTGTCAGATGAAATTGTATATTTTCGAATTCTTCGTTCCAGATGATCCCATAAATGTTCAATAGGATTAACATCTGGTGATTGCAGAGGTGTTTTTAGATGTGCTGCTGTATTATACATATAGGATACACAATCTTGTATTGTAAGCAGTATACTTTGGATCATTATTTTGCATAAATACAAAATTGTCTTCAATGCCCATTTTTTTTTCGCTCGAATGAACATGAGCTTTTAAAATACTAATACACATGTGATGGATCATTATCTCATTAATTAAGTGCAATTCACCCACGCCTACCGTATTCATACAGCCCCAAACAGATATGGTAAGCTGTAAATTCTGAGATTCATATTCCTTATTTTTTTGTTCTCCACACTGTAAACCAGGCGTGTCCAACCTGCGGCCCGCGGGCCGCAATGTGGCCCTGAACAGCACAATATCGTAAACTTTTAACACTATGTGATTTTTAGCGATATTTTTCACGACTCAATTGCATTATAATAAAAAATATTAAAAAATAAAGGAGGTTTTGTTACTTATGTACAATTAACGGTATTATATATTTCGTATGGCCCAGGCAAATCGAAAGGTTGGACACCCATGCTGTAAACTGTCCATTAGAGTCAAATACGTTAAATTTAGTCTCATCCGTAAAAATTACCCTGTTCCAAAATTCTATTAATGTATTTGCATAATTTTTTGCAAATTCCAATCACTTCTTCCTGTTCCCTACCATGACACCCTTGATTTCGTAAAAAACTACGTACAGTACTGGTGGATATATTAATATTTAAATTATTTTTAAGCTCTTCAACAATCTTTGCTGCACTTACCCTTAAATTCTTTTTAATTAATGGAATAATAGTGCGACCACTAGGTTCACTAATTGTCCGTAGCCGTCCACTTCTTGCACTATTTGGCAATGTTTTCCGCAATCCATATCTATCAATGATAACCTTGTATCGTAGATCTTGGTCTTTATACAACACGTGATACTTCAGACAAACTTTTGCATTAATTATACAAATTATTAATTATTTTTCACTTTTCTACACTAGTTTCGTTACTTTTTCGACTCATATTACCACAGTAATGGAACTCGAGACAAAGTTTCCAAACAAACTGGTACAATTCGAAGCCAGTCATGTTATATTTACACAACAAAATTTAAATCGTAGATATATTGAATAATAACGGTACGAATACTTATTTCACTCTCATTTGTATCATTGTGTTAATTCCTGTTAATATTTATATAAACAATGTAAATATCTTTTTTTTGTGTATTTGATATTTCTTTCTAGGTGTTTCAGAGAATATGTATATTACATTTGTTTAAAAGATATTGTTTAATTATTATTCAACAGTTTAGTGGCAATTAATCACTGCACAAATACTGTTTACCCCACTTGTACACCATTCACTGGTGTAGGGTGGGTTGCTTGGCTACAGGGATACTTTTAAACATTAATAGTTAAAAAACAAAGCTTCAAATGCAATTTTTTTATTCTTGATTGTCGTCTTATATTGACTTCTAGAATCACCCTCTGAATTTTCTTGCGGGAGTAGCTGAACACCCTGTATATTCGCCGATATATTTAAACGTTCTTATTTTGAAGGTAAAAACGACATATGAAAAATGATGGCTGAATGAAAGTAAAGTTTTGAATCTTCACAATTTAAAGAGCTATAGTTCACGTAGCGAGTATACTTAGTATAAAAACATTTTATGTATTTAAACCTGCACCCTCCCTTTTAAGTAACTCTAACGCATCGTAGGATAAAATTTGTAATAAAATAATTCTATAAAATTGAGCATGAACAATTTTTTTTAATTTATGCTAGTTACAGACAACCCTGTTTTCCATTCTTAATATCGCTTCTTCCTTTTCTTCCTTAATTTAAACAGCATTCTTTTTTGCAAATATGTCACATATCTTTTTACAATGATTAACATGAGGCTTTTATTGTAATATTTGTAGTTGAATACCATCTTCTTATGCTATACTCACAGTAGGATTGAATAGTTATTTATTTCGATGATCGGGGACCAAGTATCTATCTTCTAACAATTTGCGTATGTCAAGTAATATTTCCGCTAAAGAAAACCACGAAGTGGCAGAAAACATAGAGAAGAATGGCAGTCTGCGATGAAAATTTCACTGCGTGATTACATCCTGCTCCCTTACACTCGCAAACGAGCTGATAACTATCCTGTATATATCGACCTTTGTAACATTTATTGTCAGCATTTCGCCATTTTACACACTCGCGTACTGTTATATACTCCCGGGAATTCATAAAATAATCTGAAAATTACACAATTAACTTACGTAATGACGTCTTTTATACAGGGTGACGAGGAAATAGATGGGCGAACTTTGGTACCGTATTTTAGATACAGTTTCTAAGGATAAGAAAAGGTCATACAATCCGAAAACTGTTGCTTTCGGAGATATAGACACTTTTTGATTACGATGGAGTATTGTAGGAATGTTTAAAATTTACTTGAAGAAATTTCTAAAAATGATTTCCTTCTGCAACAATACATGCTTCGCATTGACGTTTCAAAGAATGTCGAAGACGTTCAAAAATTCCTGGTGTACTCCGAATTTCTTCACATTTTTTAGTTCTTCGAAGTGAAGAAATTCGGAATACACTGGGAACTTTTAGATTTAAGACATAGTAAAGTATGCTAAGTAAGTTTTAAACATTCCTACAACACTCCATCATAATCGAAAAGTACCTGTATCTCGGAAAGGAAGAGTTTTCGGATTATACGACCTTGTCTCATCCTTAGGAACAGTTTTGGCCACCTATTTCCTTGTCACCCCGTATATAGAAAACTATCTTATAAACGTGAAGAAAATATGCATAATTTGATGACAGAGAAACGTCTACAAAAAATCAATAATTGCAATTACTAAAGGAAACTAACTTAAAAACAAGAAAGACATGTATTACGAACTTACATATGTACACAGCTTTACGACAAAATGGGTGCGAGGTGGGACAAGGTTTCAAATACTTTATATCTACCATATTGACGGTACAATCTTTGTCTATTTTGCTGTTACACTGATAACACTTTGCAGCTTTTGCTTCTTCTTGTGCACATCGATAAACAATCACGCATAAAAATGGTACACAGCATTACACAGTGTTACTTAGATCATTAATCGTTTATAGTTCTTATATATACCTTCAGTTTCATTTGTTTTTTTATGTTTGTAAAACAGAATATAAGAAAGTTTTTAAATAGAAATTATTTTGAAATTTACACTTTCACGTTTATTTAACAATTATTAACAGCCAATAGAATTTTTATTCTACTTCATTCGTATTTGATAAAAGTATATTCTGTTTTATCTACAATTGGAAAGAGCGATATTTACTTTATAAAACTTACCTCTTTGAAATACAAACAAAAATAATAATACTCGCAGTACATTCACTTTTATTCGCATCTTCAACTTCCTCTACGTTTATATTTACAAATTACCTTCAATTTTCCTATAGTGGTTAAGATACGAACTCTGTACATGTAACTTTAACACCAATTCATTTAAACAACAACTATAACTCTGATAATAATTTACAATTTTGAATACTCCAATGCTATTGTTCCTTTAATTGCTAAAAATGCAGCCCAAAGGATAATCCAAATAAATGTTATCGTTAAAGACAATAATAATAATAATGCTTAAGAGGTTATATCATACCTTGATAAATGAATCATTTATTAATACGAAAAATTTACACATAATGAAATGTGTTGTATAATGTCTACACGTTAAAATATCATTAGCAATCTTTAGAGAAACTTAATGGAAAAATATTTAATTTAACAACTTTTTCTACCTTCGACGTAGGAATTTGGCAAACACTTTTTCGGCATGAACATAACAAAATCGATATATCGCTATTTCCATGATGAGTAAAATAATTTGTTTCTAGATTTTTACCTTTATACTTGGTATCGTATTATTACTAAACAGCGTTACTATTTATTTGATACAAGTCGAAAAATTACAAAACATTTGTAAAAAATGCAAAATTTCGTGTATTGCTAAGTGAAAATAACCCTATCAAAAATATATAATTTCCCCGAGCTGCATTAAAAATTGAATTGCACGTGTAATAAAATCGTTATGACTTGGATTCTTATTACTTTAATGCTTACATCTTTAAACATGAAAAATATTAAATATTAAAAAATAGCTAAAATATAAGCATGCACATCTCGCATGAGAGGTACGAGTAAGGTATAATATAAGCAGTGTCGATATTCTTAAAGTGCGCGTACGTAACATCGAGAGATATGATGTGAAAAATTAATAAAAAAAAAAACACGGAATTGAGAATTAAGATTTGTTTTACACACTTTTGTGTGCATAAAGCTTTACTAGTGTGCGAATGTAATAATGAGTGCAAATGTGAAAATTGTTATACTGATTTTCAGAGAACAGAAAGAAAGGAATGACGTACATTATCCAAAAGTTCAGTAATCGAGAGTAAAATTCGTGATAAATTTGAAAACTGAAAGTTTCCAACTGAAACAAAGCTAATTAGCTGTGAAAAGCCATTTTTAATTTTTAGATTAATTCCATCAACATTTTCAATAATCTTTCAAAATTCTTTAATAATCCTTCTTTAAGCTGCTGCATTTGTGAGCTATACATATTTAACCAAAAAAGATTAAAAGTTTAATATCCAAGAAACGAAAATTGTTTTAACGATTGAAGAGAAAGGAAATGCGTATCGTTTATTTTTAACTATAGTTCAAGCCCAAATTCTTTAGTTCTTTAACGAGTTTAACAATTAACCATCTTTTCATGAGTTCGTGAGAATATTGTAGTGACTTCGTTATCATAAATATGAAAAAAGGACATTCATGTTTAACTGAAACTAGCCTTAACCCATTTTTTTTCAAAATTGGACTTATACCACTTTCAAAAGGACAGCTCAAACGTTATTGCATAAATGCTTTTTTTTTGAAAGTGGAATAAGTCCATTTGCAGCCAAAAAAATCTCACTTTTCTTTAACAATATTAATAATTATTAGAAATTTTAGGAACATTAGACGAAATTATTAACGTTTGCCAATATTCTTTAATTAATTCAAAGGCAAACCTTTAAATATCTCAATATAAGAATAAATGGACTTATATCACTTTAAAAAAAAAACCGTGTATCTATCAGACGCAAACCTATAAATATCTCAATATAAGAACAAATGGACTTATACCACTTAAAGAAAAAACGGCTCATATAGCAAACATGAATTACTTACCTGTGTCTTTAATTTAACGAAGAGTGGAATATTTATCACTTGGAATATAACCATCGTAGACGTGTCAGGGACTTAGTGCTACAGGTTGCTAAATAAATTAAATACTCACTGCGATGAGCAACGCACAGCGAAATCAGATTGCAAATGCGATGTTTAATAAAGATAATACATTATTTACTTTCCTTTTTTGCGGTATAGTACACGCGGTTTATACACCTTATATACAATAAATGAAATATTAAGGATCTGAAACACAATTGCAAGATTATTTACGTTGATTAAGAACTTTCGTTGGCGATTAAGAATATTCGTCAGCAATACAGATTATCAGACTGCTTCTCTTGAAGAGCGATTTCTGCTGTTTGCATACTTATCAATCTAGACAAAAGTTTCTCTCTCTTACGTCACTCTTCCAGTTAGTAAAAAGCAGCTAAAGCATTGAAACTCTGTTATTATATGAATGTTACAGAAACTTCAAATCCAAGCACACGTAAATTAAAATACGTAAGTAAAACATGTTACAAATTTTAAATAAATGATCTGATTAATACAAAAACTGTCAGAATTTTTAATTAAAATATTACTAAACATAATAATTTGTCAGTATTTTAAACAGGTGGTCAGCGCGTATAATAAAATATCCTAACCTAACCTAAAATTTCAATTTGACGAAAGAACAAAAATACCGACCAAATAAACAAAATTGTGCTGACAAAATGCGATTTAATACTGACAATTAATTATTTATACTGATACTCAAAAATATTCATTTTTACTGACTATTTACTTAAAAAGATACTGACCAAATAAACCTAACCTAAAATTTCAATTTTACGAAAGAACAGAAATACCGACCAAATAAACAAAATTGTGCTTACAAAATGCGATTTAATACTGACAATTAATTATTTATACCGATACTCAAAAATATTCATTTTTACTGACTATTTACCTAAAAAGATACTGACCAAATAAACCTAACCTAAAATTTCAATTTGACGAAAGAACAGAAATACCGACCAAATAAACAAAATTGTGCTGACAAAATGCGATTTAATACCGACAATTAATTATTTGTACTGATACTCAAAAATATTCATTTTTACTGACTATTTACCTAAAAAGATACTGACCAAATAAATAGAAGTGCATTTTAATTATGCAAACAGAAATGTTTTATGTAATCAAATTATAAAACAAGAAATATGACACCTTCTTTCTCTCACCATAATCAAGAAAATTAGGAAACATAGTACAGCGATGATAGATTAATGTTTCCTTAACAATTTTCAATCAGACAGCGTTAATCGTAGAAAGTGAAGACAGCTCAACTTCTTTATAGAAGGGATATACTAATGAAACGAAATTTAAGCATTTTGTTTCCACCACTTCCGTTATCCAGTTAAGAGAAAAAAATAGGTCATAAGTGGATGATTCAGAAACATAGTAGCAACACATAAAGATATCCTCCAGTTCGCGTGCGACTTATTACACGAACTTCCATGATATTTCATAACGTTCAGTGTGTCACAGGAAAAGGGATATTATCCACTTAGCGTGTTTCAAACCACCACTTTACGCTCCACTTGAACATAAAGCTCTACGTACCGCCCACGACCTTCCCTATTTAACTTCTAGCCCTGCCTTTTCCGTCAAAACAATCGTACCTTTTCTCATCGACGATTAAACATTCTTCCATTAGCATCGTGTACTCTGCAGAAAGTTCGTAATACGTAAATGTTCGAATTTTACCACCCCTGCATCTCTTTGAACGAAGTGAGATAAACTTCTAATCTTCTTCGATAAAGCAGTATCTTTTCAGCACAGAAATGTAGATAATATTATTCTGGTTCACCATGTGAACAATCAGTTCACGTCCTTTGAAACTACGTGATGGTATACACACATATACCACGAAGAAAATTTGCAGGAAACTTCAAATTCGTGCGTCACGCGTGCTTCACCGGTGAACAAATTCTCACAGAAGAAGAAATTGTGAAAAACAATAGAAAACAAAGACCAATGTCTGTAATAAAATTATCATCAAGTATGCCCCCCTTTCGTTCAAAATCATCATTCTGCACGAGGTGGGTAACGGCGCTGCAAAATTCAGATTGAAAAAAACCGCCGAAACGAACGATGTCGACGTTAGAAAGCAGAGCGTAATAACTCGAATGACAAACTCTTCCGTGGTTCTTCTGCAACGAAACGTCCAATTTCGTACTCCGTTTATTCGTTGGCAGCCGGTCGCTGTATCGAGAGGTAAAAAAAAAAAAAAAATGAAACTGGTAACGATAGCAAAAAGCGCGCGTAGTCACTGAAGAGTAGAGTAAAAATCAATCCGAGACAGCAACATCCCTTCCCCCGCGGTTCGTCAAAAATATTGATTTCCCTGAGTGGTGTACAGGCAGAATCTGGGCAACAGCCGCAACCGAAGACGGGAATCAGAATCACGAGGCTCTAGGAACGGCGAAACTTTCCCTGGAGCGTGGCTAGATCGTTTAAGCATCGCGTTATTCGTTTGAACGAATCGGTTTTTCCGCCCGTCTCGCCCCCTCTTGCCGACCTTAGTATTCCTCGCGCGCAATCACGTATTCATGGTTCCGTCGGTGGTGTAAGCATCGTCGCCTTAGTTGCGGGCTTGCGCTGCAATCGCGTCGAGCAACGAACAGCGCGAACAGTGCTTCAGCAGCTGTCGAGGCCGAATAGTTGGCCTCGTCAACCCCTGATCTGACCGCCTTCTCACTTTTTTTTCTCCCTCCGGTTTCGACACCCTGATCGTGCCGCTCGGTCGCGGCCAAATTACGACGGCAACCGCGGACAACGGGCGTCAATCGTCGTAGGACGTGCCAGGATACCAAAAGCAACATGAGGCGTTCGATTGTCCTCGCCTTTTGCCTATTGGTCATTCTCGGTTTTTATGGTAAGCGTCTGGGCATTGAGTGTGCTGTTTCCTTGGTTCAACGATCGGGCCGGGTTTACGAGATTGCCTTCTATCGATCCTCGTGTCCTTCTCTTAGACCCAGTTTCATTCACTTCCTTACACTTTCGCAACACAGCTTCGGTCGTAAACGGTACAGTTTTCATTCACTCAACTCGTTTCATTTGCCAGTGCAATTGATTAAACGATAATAATTTAAGATCACCGTTTACATTATTGTTTTTTATCAATACGTCAAAGGTGTTGAGAACCCTTTCTACATTCTTCGTAGATTCGTGTGATATCCCCTTTTCTCAGATATTCCTGAATGAAGCGATGGTACGTTCTATTCGGAAAGTAGATCGCGTTGTTTCTTCACTGTTCAGAAGTGTTTATGTGTAACAGTATCTATGAACACGTGTAATATTGCATGTTGTTTGAAAAGGAATCGAATATCCGACAACTAAGATGCGGTTAAATGATTAAAACTACGTGTACTTCGAGAAGTGTTCTTGATTCCGCGATTCTGTTTCACCAAATATAGTAGTGCAAACGTCGGTGAGATCAATGACAACGAGCTATGCGAATGTCATCTTGTTCGTGTGAAATTACGTATTTGTCGCGGAACACGATGTGAAAATTAATATCGATGTCAAACAATATTTTACCTTTCCATTCGATTCTTTTAAATTACTATTGCAATTCACGTCACAAGATATTATATACAGGGTGAGTCTCCTAACATGACGATTTCAAATAACTCGTAAGTTATTCGTTGTACGAAAAAATGTTTCGAACAAAAGTTGCATGGTATCTAGGGGGACATACAGTGCTATAATTTGCTTTTTATTACCTTACTCTTTCATTGAGATATTAGGGCCACCTTCAGTTTTTTAAATAGAACGTCTAATATTTCTTTTCGAATGCGGATAAATCGTCAAATTTTGCGCAAAAGAGTATCATACAAAGTGGGGCTTAAAATGAATAATTACTCAGATATTTATAAAACAAGTAAACAAAGTCGTGCTAAGAATCACGTTGGCTGAGCGTATTTCCTAATAGAAGATTATTAATTTGAAGATATCTCAGTAATTATTCGTTTTAAGTCCCACTTTGTAATAATACTTTTTTACGCAAAATTTGACGATTTATCCGAAAAAAAATATTAGACATTCCATTTAAAAAACTGAATGTGACCCTAATATCTGAATAAAAGAGTAAGGTAATAAAAAACAGATTAGAGCACTCTACATCCCCCTAGATACCGTGCAACTTTTGTTTGAAACATTTTTTCGTACAACGAATAACTTAGGAGTTATTTGAAGTTAGGAGACTCACCCTGTATATATTTAATATTTATATGTAAAA